TTCCTGCTCCTCTGATGCTGCTTGGCCTGCTGTGTTCATCCAGCTCTACACCTTGTTATCTCAAAGTATTTAACCTGTTTCAGTTACAGTGATCATCTGGTAGCCAATCTCCTAGACATTCGACCTCAAGAAACCTCACAATCTGAATCATTTGCTTCAGAAGCATCCTTACTTCTGATTTTAAATCACCAGATCCCCTTAAGGAACCACGGATCTGTTGTTTGGCAGATTGGAGGTCATATATCAAGAGAATGAATTAATTGCAATTTATAGGAATGAACCACTCTTATATAATTTGTGTGTATGTATGTATGTGTATATGCATTCGTTCAGGATAGGCTGGTGAAAATAAATAAGCTTTATTTTAAACAGTTGAAACCATCTGCTGAATTAGTTAATTGGAGTACACACTCCAAATGTAAAAGAGACACACCTCTTTCCATACAAATAATACTCATTATTCACAGTAAGCACATACATTCTGTGATAATATCAATGTTTTTTAAAGTAATATATATCTACATCAAATTTTACACTCTAAAAAGTTGCCTTAACATAGTGGGTTCACGGCAGATTTTATATTTGATGATTTGAAACAGGCCAATTCTGGTTGCAATTTACAATGAAACTGCTGGTGGGCCCTATGTGGAAACTCCACCTCAAGATAGCCACTAATATCGGAAACAGAGAATTGAGGAAACATTTTTTTTTACCCAGTGAGTGGGAAGAATTCTGTGGAACTTGCTATCACGGACATTGTTTGACATAATTATTATTGATTCATCATTTAGGGGAAGTTGGATGAACACATAAGGGAGAAAAGAACAGAAGGATTACTCCTACGTGGGTCTCCATAGTCTGCTTCTCCACTGCAACTACAATATGGCCCCATGTATACAAAATAATTATTTCCAATAAAAAACAGCTCATTTCAGGAAGGATCCATGGGCTTTGCAGAGGATGCAGAGGGAGAGTGACTGAAGTCTTATCAAGGATGAGGGACTTCAATGATGAGGAGAGACTGGAGATGCTGAGGCTATTCTCCTGAGAACAGAGAAGGTTTGGGGGAAGATTTCATGACACTGTTCACAATTTTTGACAGTACGTTATGGGAGAAGAGTTTCCATTGGCTCCAGGGTCAGTAAACAGGGCACAGAGATTAAAACTGAATAGCCTCCCTTTCTTTTATACTGTCACATAATTCTTTCTGTTGTTGTGACCTGTGACATGCTGCATGGAATGGTGATGGCAGCAGGCCCAATAATAAGGTTCAAAAGGGAGTAGGGTCAATACTTAGGAAGGAAAGATTTGCAGGGAACGGGGAAAGAGCGGAAGTGGGAAAAATTGTTCTTTAAAAGGGCTGGAACCGACACAGTGGACCGAATGTCCTTGTTTTGTACTGGATGATTCCATGAAAATGCTGTGCCTGACATGCAGTCAGCTGAGCACAGGAGGGTGAAGGAACCTGTTGTACCTTTTCATAGATCGTAGCGTTCCGTGCACTGGTTGGAATCCAGACTTCTTTGAAGAACTTCTCACTGATGGGGTCTTGCACTTCGATAGTTGGGTCATTTAAAGCCCCCAGAATAAGCCTGTGAGAAACAACATAGATATAAAGGGCAAAAATCACAGCCTGGAAACAGCTTCCTACAGTACAGGGGAACATTCACAACTTGGGCACTTTGGACATCCCAAGGGAATCTCCAGATTACTGGGAAAATCTTTGCTTGGTTTTCAGAGAACAGCGCCCTCTTTTTAAAAATTGGATGTGTGCGTTGCTGGCTGGACCAAGATTTGGTCTCTACACCTAGCTGTCCTAGAGCAGGTGATGGTGAGCTGCCTTCTTAAACTGCTGTAATCCATGTGGTGCAGGGACACCCACAATGCTGCTAGGGAGGGAGCTCCAGGATTTTCATCCAGTGACAGTGAAGCAATGGCAATATATTTCCAAGTCAGAATGGTGAGTGGCTTGGAGGGTCGCTTGTATCCCTATGTAGTTTCCTGCCCCTTGTCCTTCTGGATGGTAGAGGTCACGGACTTGATAGGTGCAGTTGAAGGAGCCTTGGTGAGTTACTGGGGATGGTACACACTGCTGCTGCTATCATGTGTTGCTTCCACTGAGAGCATGCCATAAGTCCAGCTTTGCAGTTCCCTTTTTTATTGTGGTTGGGTGTGGCAGGGACTGGAATCAATCCTCACTTTTGGAACAATCACCAGTTCCTGCCAGGAGCTGCTTTAATTATTTAATCCCTGCCTCCTCACAGTAAAGTCATAAACCAGATGAGTTTAAAAAGGGAACAGGCTTGTCCTTTTGCCAGACCAGAAATGCTGCCTTCCTGCACTCAGATCTCTGTTACCATTTCCACATGCTCCCTTAGTTCTCAGGCTGTCACAGAAATGCACAAAGAAGCTTTTATAGGCAGTGGCTTATCAATTGTGTGCAATTAGACAATCAATGTAGAGTGAAACTGGAATTTAACTGGATCAGTAACCTGGAGGCCATGGAATATGATGGTTATGGTGAAGAGGTCACTGAAAGTGTGCAAACTTCGAGATCTCTTTCAGTACCTGTCTCTGGCCCTATGTGGGGACTCACTTGAAGCAGTGCAGTCGGAGATGCAGAGCATATTTCCCAGCCTGGTACTCAGCCCCATCCATCACCGATGGCACAAACTCTGTATCCTCTACAATCACCGCTACCTCGCTGTCTCGCTTTCCCAGCATACTTCGATCGTTGATGTTCGCTGAACCTGAGTTCACAACAAGACATAAACACAAAAGTCATTACAACATCACCTGTGTCCAAATATTATTCCCTCCAAGCACCCCGCCATAAAATGTATTTATCCACTCTCAGCCTGCCTCCTCAGAAGGCAGCTGTTCTGTACTGCAATTTAAGTGAAATGGTTTCCCCCACAGACACAGAGAAAGACTTATATTTTTATAGCATCCTTCACAATCTCAGGGTGTCCAAAGCACTTTACAACCAGATAACACAATTTTTTTGATGCACAATTCCTATTGCAATGTCAGAAATATAGCTTCACGATTGGACACAACAAACTCCCACACGTACCAATCTATTATTAACCAGTTAATTTCTCTGGTTTTGGTGGAGGGATAAACATTTGCCAAGACACTGGAAAGAACTCCCCCTGTTCTTCTTTGAAATAATGAGTATTTGTGTCACATAGGTGACAGAGACATGGTATTGTGGAAATTTCACTGGGTTAGTAATCCAGAAATCCAGGTTAATACTTCAGGAACACGAGTTCAAATTCAAATCCCACCAGGGCAGCTGGTGGACTTTCATTTCAATAAAATCTGGACTTAATAAGGTGGGCGAATTAAAATTACTGTTAATTGTTTAATATGAAAGTAAATCTCCTTCTGCACTTTTAAATTGTAAGTAAAGTTCTATCTACATTGTCTTCATTAAGCACTCTCAGAGCAGGTACATCTAGCAATCCAGACTTAGGTACAAAGTAAAGCTTTCTCTACACTGTTCCCATCAAACGCTCCCAGGAAAGGCACAGTCGCGGCTTCGATACGAAGTAAAGCTTCCTCTCGTCTTTTAAACTCAAAGTAAAGTTCTCTCTACATTCTCTCTATTAAACACTCTCAGGACAGGTGCAGCACAGGCTTAGATACAGAGTAAACGAGATAACAAGGTGTAGAGCTGGATGAACACAGCAGGCCAAGCAGCATCAGAGGAGCAGGAAAGCTGACGTTTCGGGTCTGGACCCTTTTTCTGAAGAAGGGTCCAGACCCGAAACATCAGCTTTCCTGCTCCTCTGATGCTGCTTGGCCTGCTGTGTTCATCCAGCTCTACACCTTGTTATCTCAGATTCTCCAGCATCGGCAGTTCCTACTATCTCTTAGATACAGAGTAAACCTTTCTTAACTCTTTTAAACTGTAAGTAAAGTTCCCTCTTCACTGTTGCCATCAAACATTCCCAAGTCACTGGTAGCACATGGTTACACAGAGTAAGGCTTCCTCTACTTTTTTAAAATGAAAGTAAACATAAAGTAAAGCTCCTTTGACATTGTCCCCATCAAACACTCCCAGGACAAGTAGAGCATGTGGTTAGACACAAAGTAAAACTCCCTACACTCCCTGAGCAAGCACAGAATAAAGCCTCTTCTACTCTTTTAAACTTAAAGTGAATTGAAGATAAAAGTCTCTCTATTTGTTTTAAACTGAATGTAAACAAAAGTAAAATTTTCTCTACTCTTTTAATCCATAAGTAAAGCCTCCTCTACACTGTCCTCACCAAACACTCCCAGGACAAGTACAGGATAGGGCTAGATACAGAGTAAAGCTTCCTGAATAATGAACCCATCAACCACCCTACATAATGTGATTAGATCCAATGTAGAGACCCCTGTTCATTGTCCCCTTTGATCTCAAATACCAAACATGATTGAACTAGTCATGCTGAGTACAGGAGTTCGAATCTCACAACTGGCCATGTTTAGGACCTAGGTTGAAAATCATATCAATCTGGAAATAAAATGTGGAACGGGGTGGCACAGTGGCTCAGTGGTCAGCACTGCTGCCTCACTGCACCAGGGACCCGGGTTCAATTCCATCCTCAGGTGACTGTCTATGTGGAGTTTGCACATTCTCCCCATGTCTGTGTGGGTTTCCTCTGGGTGCTCCAGTTTCCTCCCACAGTCCAAAGATGTGCAGGTTAGGCAGATTGGCCATGCTAAATTGCCCGTAGTGTTCAGGGATGTGTAGATTAGGTGGGTTATAGGGTTATAGGGGGATGGGTCTGGATGGGATGCTGTCAGGGGCAGTGTGGACTTTTTGGGCTGAAAGGCCTGAGTCCACACTGTAGGGATTCTATGAAAAGTGGGAAAAGCTTTGGAATGGCAGTTTGTTGTGATCAATAATGCACTGCCTGAAAGGGCAATGGAAGCAGATTTAACTGGAAACTTTAGGAGGAAATTGAATAACTGGTTGAAGTGTGGAGGATGCAGGGCTGTGTCAACAAAGAAGGGTGTGAGTTTAATTGGATAACTCTTTCAGCAAGCTGACACACACACAACTGGCAGAATGGTCTCCATTGGTCCTGTAAGCCTCAGCTCTGTCGAATACCATCCCACCCTGCCTTTACCCCATCCCTGAAGATCACTCACCAATAATGACTGTGTTGTCATCTGCAATCAGCATTTTGCTGTGGACATAGATGAGTTCAGTTACCAACCGTCCATTCAATTCTACATGGGTCCGGAGACCACACACTGAGAAATAATTGATCCACAGATCGTCCACTGGTGGAACAGAGATAGGAGGGAGTGGAGGATGAGTTAATAAACTGCTAAGCCACAGGAAAACATTATTAAAAACAAGCCCCATGTAGAAAGGCAAGGAAGAGATTCTCACCCCATTGAACAGAGACAGCAGTGTGTACTATCTACAAGATGCCCTGCAGCAATTCACCAAGGCTCCTGAGACAGCACCTTCCAAACCCATAATCACTACCATCCAGAAGGACAAGGGCAGCAGATACATGGGAACATGACCAGCTGCAAGCTCCCCTCTAAGCCACTCACTATTCCGACTTGGAGATATATCGCTGTTCCTTCAGTGTCACTGGATCATCCTGGAGCTCCCTTCCTGAATGCTTTGTGAGTCTACCTACAGCTCATGGTTTGCAGCGGTTCAAGAAGGGACCACCACCTTCTCAAGAGTAACTAGGGATGGGCAATAAATGCTGGCCCAGCCAATGATGCCCACATACCATGAATGAATAAAAAATATACTCTGACGATCGCGAGAAAACAGCTGTTTGACTGACGTCAAAATGAATCCATTGGTTTAATGAACCATTTGATCCATTTTTCAATCAGTCTATTGGAAAGTGTAGTGCTGTGAGGATCAATTAATAGTGGGAGCTCAGAGGGAAGAACCTCCAGGAATACTATCGCTGAGAATTGGCAACTGTTAAACTGTTGGGTGGCACGGGTGGTTCAGTGGTTAGCACTGCTGCCTCACAGCGGCAGGAACCATGGTTCCACTCTCAGGTGATAGTCTGTGTGGAGTTTGCACATTCTCCCCATGCCTGCAAGGGTTTTCTCCCACAGTCCAAAGATGTGCAGGTGAGATGGATTGGCCATGCTAAATTGCTCAGAGTGTCTTGGTGGATTAGCCATGGGAAATTCAGAGTTCCAGGCATGAGGGAGGGGGATGAATCTGGGTGGGATGCTCTTTGGAGTGTCAGTGTAGTCTTGATGGGCTGAATGGCCTGCTTCCACACTGTAAGGATTCTATGAACTGTTGCTGGGGGACAAGGGAAGAAACTGGGGAGTGAGGTAGAGGAAAGTCAAGCCAATGTACAGTAGCATCCATAATAGCAAATAGATAATTCCTAGGAAATATTGTTCCTTCCCTCCCTCTGATGGAAGGAACTCCCTCTCCCTCTCCCTTTCAGCGATATGCCTGAGGGTAATGATCTTGGCTTGATGCTAATCCAGCCCTCACTCCCGACCCAGATCAATTGCCCACTGTAGACCAGTCTTACTTTCTCTCTTCAGTTGTTCAATGATTGAGTTTTCTCCTCTACCGATGGTCCTGTAAGGAGGAAGGTGAAATTAGATTTCTGAACCACAGACCCACACACTCCCAGACTCAGCCAGATACATAAACAGTGGAATTACAAGCTCTTCAATCCCCATCACATGTAGGGCTGGCTAGAGAGAGTTCAATGTTACAATCCAATCTCCAACTTGGTAAAGGGAATTTCTGGAAGAGGTAATTTGGTTCCTGGGTAAATGAAGGATGGATGACTGAGACAGCGGTGAGTGAGAGGATTATATTTAAATAAGTTGTTTTGTCACTTTGGGATTTTCCAAGGTGTTTATAGCCAAAGAAATGTTATTTAAAGTGTAGTCACCATTGCTTTATGGAAAATGCAGCAGGAAATTGGCATACAGCAAGGTCCCACAAGCAGCAATATGATAATAATGTGATCATCTAGTTTAGTGATATGTTAGAGGTTAATGTTGTAAAGAAAGCAGGAGACAGCACCTCTGCTCATCATCAAAATTGGGAATCTTTACACCTGCCCCACAGAAATCTAATCTGAATGACGAGAACTACGACAATGAGGAGCTCCGTCAGTACAACCGCCCAGCCAATATTCCCTGTAAGCTGTGTAGCCATGGGTGTGTATAGCTACTCTAAAGTTCATGGAGATTGGCATTGGCACACTGATCACTGCAAACCACCAACCTCAGAGGCCCACAGAGCCGGAAAGAAAATTAGAAGGAATGCAGTCCACCATATGGTGGAGTATTTCCTGAGTACTGACCCTCTGACAGTGCAGCACTCCCTCAGTGCTGACCCTCTGACACTGCGGCACTCCCTCAGTACTGAGCCTCCGACAGTGCGGCACTCCCTCAGTACTGACCCTCTGACAGTGCGGCACTCCCTCAGTGCTGACCCTCCGACAGTGCGGCATTCCCTCAGTACTGACCCTCTGACAGTGCGGCACTCCCTCAGTACTGACCCTCCGACAGTGCGGCACTCCCTCAGTACTGACCCTCTGACAGTATGGCACTTCCTCAGTACTGACCCTCTGACAGTGCGGCACTCCCTCAGTGCTGACCCTCTGACAGTGCAGCACTCCCTCAGTACTGACCCTCCGACAGTGCGGCACTCCCTCAGTGCTGACCCTCCGACAGTGCGGCACTCCCTCAGTACTGACTCTCTGACAGTGCGGCACTCCCTCAGTACTGCCTTGTGAGTGTCAGCCTCAGTAATAGACCCAGGATTTTGGAATGGAGATGGCTGCAGCCAATGGAGAATGATTAAAATTGGGAATGAGCAAAAAGACCAGAATTTGAAGAACTCAGAAATCTCGGGAGGCTGGAGGACATTCCAGGGATAAGTTGGGGGAAGATGACAATAGTTGGATCTCAGGCGCCTGAATGCAGAAGAATGTAATGTCTCTAGATTGAGGGTGTACCTGTAGTTGAAATGCATGACAGCTTGGATTGCTGTCCCTCCCCCTGTCGAGATGTCTCCTTCGAAACCTGGCATCAGGGGAGTCACCACATAGACGCGAAACCTCTGCTTTGCCCTGTGCAAATAAACAAAATCACACTGAAACTAGGCAGACCATTCAACCAAGTGGGTCAAGCAGAGAGAACAGAGCCTGTATGTACATAAATAGTTGGAGATGGCAGAATGAGTTGAGAAGGTTGAGGTCCTGTGTCTTCCCTGAATCGATATGTGGAGGCACACGTCGATGAAATTGATCAAAACTCACAAACCACTGGATAGCCCCTGACAGGAGGACTGTGCCCAATTTTCAGAACTAAGCTCAGAAATAGTGGCAATGTCTCAAAGGAAGGGGGAAAGAGAAGATTTACGAGATGGCTCCAGAGACGGGTGAGGTTGGTTACGTGTACCAAAACTGGGATCAATCTCTTTAGAGCTGAGGAAAAGTTGTCAGGAGTTTTAACTTGATGCTCAAAATGATGCAAGGTTTTGATACAATAGATAGTTTCGAATGACTGGAGCGTGGGGATGCAGAGGGATGTAGATTTATGTTAATTCCCAAAACATTTCATAAGAATGATAGGAATTTTTTTACGGTGGTGAGTTGGTTTGATTTACAACATTTTGCCTAACAGGGTGGACGAAACAGGTCCAATTGTCACTTTCCGAAAGAAATGAATAAATATTGCAAAAGGAGAATTTTTAGGAGTAGGGCAATTGCAGGCTTGGTGGATTAATAGATTTTCCAAAGAGTCAGCAAAGATGTGATGGGCTGAATGGTCTTATGTGTGTTGAATCAATGCAAGTTTGCAAAAAGGTTTCCTCATCAAATTATTTGATGTTGTAGCATTCACCTCCACACCGTGAAGCAATTCTACAGCTGACTACAATGGAACCAATTTTTTGCCGGCCATTTCACCTTAAACCTCAGAAGCAATGTCTC